AGTGTGTGCGCCGCGGCCACTCGGGGTCTCCCGCTCCCTCCCAGGCTCTCAAACCTGGGAGGGAGGGTGAACAGAGGCACGCGCGTGGCAGCAGCAGAAGTGAGTTAGGGCGGCCGGGGCACATTTTTAGGGGCGGCATGGCCCGCGCCAGAATGCCGCCCCTAAAAATGTGCCGCCCCAAGCACCAGCTTGTTTTGCTGATGCCTAGAGCCAGCCCTGCAGCCAATACACCTGAACTCCCTCTCCCCAGAGCCCAATCGTACGGCCCCTCCAACTCATATACTCCCCCCAGAGCCCAGTTGTGGGACCCCCCTGGCCCAGATACCCGCATCCTCTTCCCCACAGAGCCCAGCTTGCCCCCTCCTTGTCCAGACACCCATCTCCCTCACTCCTTTCCCTTCCCCCCCCCGCCCCCAGAGCCCAGGGATCCAGAGGGAGAAATAGCCTGATGCTCGGTCCCAGGCTTGCACAGAGTTTCCTGTGCACCGCCATCTCCTTCCCTCAGGGCATGCTGGGAACTGCAGCTGCCAGGAACACTCTAGCTCCCTCCCCGCCCCCCAGCAGGGTCTTCTATGTGCAAGCTGGGATCTGCCAAGTCCAGTGGCCCTAGTGGCGGCTAGCACATTTCTGTGGGGGAAAGGAAATTCTGCACGCAGAACATTAATTTCTACAAAATTCTGCATTGCGCAGGTGCACAGAATTCCCCCAGGAGTATCAGGTGCAGAGAGAGACTAAAAAAATAATGAAACATGCTTTCTGAACCTCCAAAAATGTCTGGTTTGACAGACTGGGATAGGGTGGGGTTAGTTTTTTTACTTTACCCTATTGGCCATCTCTAGTTTTCTTAACTAACAGGCTAAATAGTGCCAATTAGCCAAAGGCCTTTGTTAGTGGGTGCCCAAGGGGGAGTTTCCTGCTGTACAGCAAAAGTGGGCTAATGGCTTCATGTGCTGGGATAGTGAAGTCTGCTTCCTCCAGCACACTGAACCAACCCCCAGAGATACATGGAAGGTTTGAGTCTGTCCTTCTCCCCTAAACAGAGGAGCCAATTGAAAGGCAATGGAAGGCTACGTGAAACAGACTTGGTGAAAAACAAACATAATCCCTATAGA